GGCACACACATGCACACTCCAGGCATGTTTTTCTAGTCACTGGGTTCAGGATTCAAATCACACTTTGGCATCCAACTCCCTTAACCACCAGGCCGTGAGCTGGCCTTACCGTTTTTTTACAGAGATAACCTTGCTCATAAGAAAAGTATCTGCGAACCCTTCCACCAGGAATCTTCTCCAGAGCAGTGGCTGGCACTGGGAAGGAGGCACCCCTGGTTATATGTACACACCTGTCACGTCATCTCCCACCAGCTCGTGGCTACACCCTCTGAGCACGGACACGACAGCTCTTGTTCTTGATCTCACGTTACAGGCAACACAAAGAAAAGCCAGCCAGTGGTGCAGCGGTATAACACGATGCTCTATGAGTCTGCCCACATGGGAAGGTTCCCAGTTCAAGTCCAGAGGCCTCCCTGAGTTTACCAGGCACATGTGTGTGCCCATCATTCAGGGCTGGCTGAGGCTGGGGGTGGATTGTGGCCTCAGGACCTTGTTGGGGATGCTGTTTTCTGTCTTTCTTGCTTATAGAAGAAGTAAATTTTTTTTTTTTTTTTGCAGAGCTTTTTGCTATAGGGCACGTGTGCTCACCAGAAAGACAGAGAGAGACAGAGAGACAGAAAGCAAGAAATCACCCTCCAGGGGGGATGGCCACGCCACAATCCCTTCTCCTCCATTCTCTCAGGATCTTGGGCACGCACGCACATGCGCCCAGCGTGAGTTTAAGTCACTGGGTCCGGGACGTGAACCGTGGTCAACTACATGGGAGTCCAGCGACATAGCCATTATGCTAACTGCTGGTCCCAATAAATAAACTTTTTAAAAAGGTAATACAAACCATTTAGAGGTAATTTCTCAAAAACCACAAATTATTTTCCAGACCCAGAGATCTCAGAGTAACGGAATTATATGAGAATTCACCTGCTCCGTTCCACCTGGGGAAAACAAAAAGGAATTCAGAACACTGACCGGCCCTGCTGTCCTCTCTATAGGTGACACTGACTGCACCAGTGTCTGCAAGTATCTAGATGGCGTCAGGGACGCCAGGTAGCAGCAGCCCGCGGGAGGGCAGCAGCCCACGGGAGGCCGCTCGGGGGCAGGCCAGCCTGTCTCCTTCTCTGGACAATTTCTTCATCTCATGTCCTCAGGGCTGATTTTACGTCCTACCTCCTCCAGGAAGCTTCCCCAGACAACTTGACCTTCAAAACCCAGTGCGAACCAAGTGTGAACAAAACCCAGCGCTGAGTGTTCAGCTTTAGGCTCAGAAGGGCTGACTGTGTTCTCTAGTCCCTAAGCTCACGGAGGAAGCAGCCGTGACTTGGACGGCTCTGCTTTCTCCGATCGCCTTCGGTAAATACCATACACACCGTGGGTCATTCTGATGATGAAGCAGTAGCATAAACAGGGCAGATGAAGCCCCCTGAATCTGGTTCACGTGTAAGCAGGAAGCAATTCTAAGAGGGGGCTTCAAAAAGTTCATGGACAAATGGAAATAAATTACAGTGAGTTTATTTCAGTGCAAAAAAATGAAAACCCATGTGCAATGTTTTCCTAATACACGTTTCCCATGACCTTTTTGAGACCACTGTTCTTCTCGCCCTGTCACCAAAGGGTTGAAGCTGCTCTTT